AGTAATTTGCGCGCCTACTGCTTTTTTTAAATATAGTAGCTATTTTTTAGGCTCCCTTTCTAGAATTAAACCCTAATTCCCTATTACTTATTAAAATTATAGTAAGCTAATACTTTACTATTAAAAGTTAATAGGGTAGAAATTTAAATAAACTGTTGCCGGCGCAAAGCTATGCAATTTATAAAGTTATTATAAATTACTAAAAAGCCCTAAAGGGTATTAGTTTTTTATCTAATAAATATACTTCTCCTAAAGTTGGGGTTTTTAGCATATATTAGCTCTAGAATTACTATAGTTATTTAAGTAGTAAGGTACTATCAAATAAACAATAACTAATTTAATAAGCTATTTGCAGTTTTACAGTATAATTACTTATATTTAAATATACATAGCTTAATTTTTAAAACAAGTATATAATTACTAGCAGAATTAACTAGGTAACAATCCTATACCTAGGCGCACAAGGCACGCGGGCACAAACTCCCTAAAAAAAGCAGAAAGTACTAAGCAAGTAGCTGCACAAAACAGCACTAGCTATTTACTACAAAAGTATATAGGGCACTAATACTGCAAGCAACTAATTTAGTTACCTCTACTAAGTTCCCTAAAGTGCGGTCTAAAATAAAGCATTACTAGTATTACTACTAAAAAAAACCCGCACTATACGCACTTTAGAAAAAAAAAACCTATAATTGCTTTATTACGCACGCAAGCGCGGATATTTAGCAAAAGTATTTCTAAAAATTTAATAAATAGTTAGTAAAGCTAGCTATCTACAAACTCTAAATAGTGCCTATTTGTAAAAATAAATAGGACTTTAGGTATTAATTATAAAAACAGGTGCAGCGCTAAGGCGTTGCTTTGTAATATAGGCCTTAGCTAACTTAATTAGGCAGAAAATAGCTGCTTAGCCCCTAATATCGTACTAATTAGAGTAGATATTGCTAGCTAATATCTAGGAAATAAAGTATGCAAATATAGGACTATAAATACGCAAGCTGCCTACTAATAATACTTAGGCTATTACTAAAGAGCAGTAGAGAATAAATGCAGGTAAAATAGTTTTTAAGCTACTTCTTTTATACTATGCACTCTACTAATAGCTAGCTTCTAGGTATAAAAAGCCCCTAAAAGCCTCCTCTATGCGCAAAACTAATAAGTACTAGTATACTTATTAATAAAGCACTTTGCAGCAAGCAGATTAATTTAATTAAAAGCCTATTATTACTACTACAAAGAAGGAAAAATAGGCAAAAAAACTAGCATGCTAGCTCTATTTTTAGGCAAAAGCTTATTTTATACCTTACTACTAACTATTATTTATACTTTAACGCCCTTAAAGCTTACTGCAAATAGTAGTAGATAGAACAGTTATATTTTTAGAGACTTTAACTACCCTTTTTATATAGTATATAGAAGTAATTAACTCTAGTTTTTGCGTTATAGAGTAGATGTAGTAGAAAATATATTAGAGCTTAGGTTTTTACTAGCAAAAT